GCTTTAACAGAAATTTACTGTCCCACAATTGTGAAAGCTAGAAGTCTGAAACCAAGGTGTCTGTCATGCTTGGTTCCTTTTAAAGGCTGTGAGGGAGAATCTGTTCTATTCCTTTCTTTTAGATTCTAGCAGCCTTCGGAGTTGTTTGGATTGTAGATGATGTTCTTATTGTGCTTCACATTGTCTTCCCTCTGTGCATGTCTGTCTTTGTGTCCAAATTTTCTCTGTTTATAAGGACACAATCATATTGGGTTAGGGTCTACATGAATCACCTCACTTTAACCTGATAATCTGCAAAAAACCTATCAAATAGGCTCACATTCGCGAGTATTTGAGGCTAGGACTTCAAAATGCTTTTTAATTGAGATATAATTGTCATATAACACTGTAAGTATAAGGTGTAAAAATGTGTTGACTTGATACATTTATATATAGCAATATGATTGCCACTGTAGCATTAGCTAATACTCCTATCATGTCATGTACTTCTCATTTCTTTTTTGCAGTGGGAATAATTAAGATCTAGTCTCTTAGCAACTTTGTTGTTTATAGTACAGTATGGTTGTCTGTAATCACTACATTGTGCATTAGATCTCCAGGACTTATTTATCTACTAGTTGCAGGTTTGTACCCTCAAACAACATCTCCCCACTTCCTCCACCCCTCAGCCCCTGGTAACCACCATTCTGCCCTCTATTTTTATGAGACAATTTCCCTAGGTACTTTGCATTTTCAGATAAGGAAAAAATTGAGGAAGAATTAAGGAAGGAAAGGAAAATTGAAATGAATCCTCCAGGCAATGTAGACTTTCAGGTTTGGAAGAATGAACAAGAAGCAAAAGAACAGAAAGGAAAAGTCACTCAGGGGTTTTAGCTATGAGAGAGAGGAGTGGGTGAGGGAGAAGGGGAGGGAAGAGAGAGAAAGGATAGTTCAGTCCCTTTCCTCCCATAGACGTATTTCTGACTTTCAACCACAGAATGCCTGGCATGGCACTGAAGAGATGAGAAAAGCTTGTAGGATAGCTCAGTTACAGCGCAAAGCAAAGAAATCCAGAGGTGAAATTAAAGATCAAGGAGTTCTCCTTGGCCACCAAAAAACAGCTGGAAACAGAGTTATAAAGCTCCAAAACCACTCTAGTGCTAAAATTCATGTCTTACTGAATAGGAAACTCCCAACCATGCTCTCAAAGCATTTGAAACTGTGGTGAACTGAATCACAATAATACAATACTGTAAAATTCCTAGAAGATGACATAAGAGAAAACCTAGATGACTTCAGGTATGGTGATGCTTTTTTACATACAACAGATTTGCAAAAGACAAATCTGATAAAGGACTGTTATCCAAAATATACAAAGAACTCTTAACACTCAATAATTTAAAAAATGATTAAAAATGGGTCAAAGACCTTCACAGACACCTCACCAACAAAAGACATACAGATGGCAAATAATATATGAAAAGATATCCCACATCATATGTCACCAGGGAAATGCAAATTAAAACAATGAAATGGGCTTCCCTGGTGGTGCAGTGGTTGAGAGTCCACCTGCCGATGCAGGGGACACGGGTTCGTGCCCCGGTCCGGGAGGATCCCACATGCCTTGGAGCGGCTGGGCCCATGAGCCATGGCCGCTAAGCCTGCACATCCAGGGCCTGTGCTCTGCGGCGGGAGAGGCCACAACAGTGAGAGGCCCACATACCGCCAAAAAAAAAACAAAAAACAAAAAAACAATGAAATGCTACTACACATCTATTAGAATGACCAATATCTGTAACACTGACACCAAGTGCTGAAGAAGAAGTGATACAACAGGAACTCTCACACATCCCTGGTGCAGCCACTCTGATGGTTTTTAGAAAACTAAACATGTTTTACCATACATTCCAGCAATTTCATTCCTTGGTATTTACCCAAAGGAGTAAAAAATACATGTCCACACAAAAACCTGTCCATGGATGTGTATTGCAGCTTTTTTTATAATTGCCAAAACTTGGGAACAACGAAGATGTCCTTCAGTAGGTGAGTAGATGAACTGTGGTATATCCAGACAATGGAATATTATTCTGTGCTAAAAAGAAATGAGCTGCAAAGCCTTGAAAAGACATGGAGGAACCTTAAAAAAATATGAAATGGAAGAAGTCAATCTGAAAAAGCTGCATACTGTATGATTCCAGCTCTATGACATTCTTGAAAAAACAGAACTATGGAGACAGTAAAAAGATCAGTGATTGCCAGGGAAGGGCCAGGGAGAGATGAATAGGCAGAGCACAGAGGATTTTTAGGTCAGTGAAAATATTCTGTATGATTCAAAAATGGTGAATATATGTCATTATATATTTATCCAAACCCAGAGAATGTATAATACCAAGAGTGAACCCTACTGTAAGCTATGAACTTTAGGTGATTATGATGTGCCAAAGTAGATTCATCCGCTGTAACAAATGTACCACTTTGGTAAGGGATGTAGATAATAGAGGAGGCTCTGCATGTGTAGGAGTAGTTGGTATATGGGAAATATCTGTACCTTCCTCTCAATTTTGTTGTAAACCTAATACTGCTCTAAAACAATAAGGTATTTTTTTAAAAGTTTGTTAAAAGTTAGGCTGGTTTCTCCTCACCCCAATTTATGCCAGGTGGGTTCTTCTATTTACTTTTCTGTTGATGGGGGAAGAAGGGGGACACCTCTGTATATCCTCCCTTTCATCAAGGACTGTCATTATGTGGAATATAGTTCCATTAAGTTTATTTGTATTTTCAGCATTATGATGTTATTTTTAAAAATATATAATTTGTAGCTTATTCAGCACATAATTGTTAGGGTGTGAATGTTTTTTGTAACTGTTTATATCCACACCAGAGTACTATTTATAAACATATTAAAACACAATGAAATATTTTATACCTACCCACAGATATACCATTTCTGTTGCTTTTTATGCATCTATAAAGATTCAAGTTCTTCTGGTAATGAAAATTTCAGTTTTTTTCTCTCAAAACATTTTTATTTTACTTTCATAATTTATGAATATATAAACCCCCACCCAGTTTGGCAGGCCCTTCTTTTTCTGGAAGCTCTTTAAAGAGATTTCTCATTGTCTTCCATCTTGCTTTATTCCCAAAGAGAAGTCAGTGAGGAGTCAGACGTTATTTTTATTTTGTTCACCATATCTTCTTGTAATGTGTCCTATTTTGGGGACTGCTCTTAAGATTATTTTTTCTCTTTCTTTGGTTATCTTCAATTTGATTGTGATGTGTCTTTGTGGGTTTTTCTTGTTTTCAGCTTGGATTTTTTGGGTTGTTTTTTATCACAAATTTGAAAAAAAGAAGTTGCCTTTATTTCTTCAGATATATTTCTACATTACAGCTTTCTTCTAATACTCCAATTATATGTGTGTTTGACTTTTTAATATTTTTCCACAAGTCACTGAATTTTTGTTCACTTTTTTCCCCATCAGTGTTTCAGTATAGTTAGTATCTATTGTCCTGTCTCTATGTACAGAGATTACTGGCATTCTTTCTTTTGATAACTCTCTCATTTCTGGTACTTTGCCCCATAAAGTCAAGCCACCTGAGACTCTGCACTCCAATCTCAGTTCTCTTCAATTGAATAAGACTCTTCATGCTTTGCCTTGTTTTCCCTCCTTGTGATGTGGTTTGGAAAGTGTCTCTAGGGCTCAGTGATAGGGTTCATTTTTTTTAATTCACTTTTTCAAGGATCACAGTTCTCTGCTTCCTTTTCTCCAATGTCTGAAACAGACATTTTACATATTTTTGTACAGTTTCTTTTTTTTTGTTTGTTTTTTAAAATTTTGCTTATTACTGAAAGGCTAAGTACTAGTTATTCTGTCATGAACAGAAGAGTAAGACTATTTCATTTGCTGAGAATGACAGTTCTTACTCGTTACAACCACATTTAATATGACATAAAATAGGCATAAAATAAATCAAACCTATAAGAATAGGTTTTATTTAGAAAACCAGGGGCATCATTTCTAGAATAATTATGTATTTCATATTTTCATCAATTAAACATTTAAGTGATTTTCTGCAGCTGTTTTCCCTTTTGGTGTTTAAAATTACATGTACTTTTTGAGAATTTTAATCACGTATGCATTAGTATTGTTATTTTTGATGATTATTTTCAAGAGCAAATACTTAAGATCAAGATAGAAATGAAACTGTCAAGTTTTTTAAAAATAAATTTGAATAAATACAAGTGCACTAAGTTCTTTCAGAAAAGGAAAATGGAATATGACATCTTGGACTCACTGTCAGGTATTTTGATGACTGCTTTCCATAAATTATCTTCAAAAATCCACATTATATCACATAAAACATTCCAATAGTTAAGGAGCTCAGAGCATTTGTGGTAAATTTTCAGCCTTTTATATATTTAAGAACAAGATCCTGTATTTGCAACTAGGATGTGCAGGTTGTATTATTTTCAAGATAGTTTGTAAAGATGAATAAAATTTAATTAACAGTTAATTACTTTCAAGTATCTTGCCACAAGGTTAACAAATACAAATACTGTCTCTTTCTGTTTATGCTCAGACTAGTAAATTGAAATACTTGCAAATCTCCAAATATGTCTAAGCTTTTGAATTTATAAGATGTCTTTTGGGGGTTTAGTGGAAATTTTCCTGAGCTCCCACCCTCCAGTCTGGGCTGAATGTCTCTTTTTTGTGAACCCAGGGAGTGCCCTGGACATATTTCAAATATAGCACTTAATTGACAGAATTTTAATAATCTGTTGACTTCTTTGTTTTCACCAGTTGATTTTAAATCTCATGAGGTCATGAATGGTATATATATTTTTTTATCCTAGGGTCTACTACACAGACAATACAGAGTTAATATTTTATATTTGGTTAAATAAGCAAGTGAATAAATTGTTTCTGTATTCTAATTTGCATTAAAAAGATTATTTTAGTAGGAATATGAACTTTACTCAAATGATTGGATGCTAACACTATATTTTGTGTCTTTTCTTACAGGCTCTTAAAACTGATCTACAATGGAAAAATTTCTTTTTTATCTGTTTTTCATTGGCATAGCAGTGAAAGCTCAGATCTGTCCAAAGCGTTGTGTCTGTCAGATTTTGTCTCCTAATCTTGCAACCCTTTGTGCCAAGAAAGGGCTTTTGTTTGTGCCACCAAACATTGACAGAAGAACTGTGGAACTGCGTTTGGCAGACAATTTTGTTACAAATATTAAAAGGAAAGATTTTGCCAATATGACCAGCTTGGTGGACCTGACTCTATCCAGGAATACAATAAGTTTTATTACACCTCATGCTTTTGCTGACTTACGGAATCTGAGGGCATTGCATTTGAATAGCAACAGATTGACTAAAATTACAAATGATATGTTCAGTGGGCTTTCCAATCTCCATCATTTGATACTGAACAACAATCAGCTGACTTTAATTTCTTCTACAGCATTTGATGATGTCTTTGCCCTCGAGGAGCTGGATCTGTCCTATAATAATTTAGAAACAATACCATGGGATGCTGTTGAGAAGATGGTTAGCTTGCACACCCTCAGTTTGGATCACAATATGATTGATAACATTCCTAAGGGGACTTTCTCCCACTTGCACAAGATGACTCGGCTAGATGTAACATCAAATAAATTGCAGAAGCTACCACCTGACCCTCTCTTTCAGCGAGCTCAGGTCCTAGCAACCTCAGGAATCATAAGCCCATCTACTTTTGCATTAAGTTTTGGTGGGAACCCTTTGCATTGCAACTGTGAATTGCTGTGGTTGAGGCGTCTGTCCAGAGAAGATGACCTGGAGACCTGTGCTTCCCCAGCGCTTTTAACTGGCCGCTATTTTTGGTCAATTCCTGAGGAAGAGTTTTTGTGTGAGCCTCCTCTCATTACTCGTCATACACATGAGATGAGAGTCCTGGAGGGTCAGAGGGCAACCCTGAGGTGCAAAGCCAGGGGAGACCCCGAACCTGCAATTCACTGGATTTCTCCTGAAGGGAAGCTTATTTCAAATGCAACAAGATCTCTGGTGTATGATAATGGAACACTTGACATTCTTATAACAACTATTAAGGATACAGGTGCTTTTACCTGCATTGCTTCCAATCCTGCTGGGGAAGCAACACAAATGGTGGATCTTCATATAATTAAGCTCCCTCACTTACTAAACAGTACGAACCATATCCATGAGCCTGATCCTGGTTCTTCAGATATCTCAACTTCTACTAAGTCAGGTTCTAATGCAAGCACTAGTAATGGTGATACTAAAATCAGTCAAGGTAAAATTGTGGTGGCAGAAGCAACATCATCTACGGCACTGCTTAAATTTAATTTTCAAAGAAATATCCCGGGAATACGTATGTTTCAAATCCAGTACAATGGTACTTATGATGACACCCTTGTTTACAGGTAAGAAAAATTAAGCAAATTTTTGTACTTGCTGTGCATCTTAGTGTAGGACTTGATAATCTAGTACTGATTTTTTTTAATCAGCAGTGCTACTCTGTGTTGTAATTAAAGTACTCCACTTTTTAAAGTATATAATGTAAGGCTTGTGAAAGGTGAATACATGTGGAGAAATATTTTGAATGCAGTTATTTTCAGAGAGTTCAAATTTATATTTAATATTATGCTTACTTACTTTTTTCCCCTCATCTAAGAGATGTGACTATCAGAGAACAAGTTTGATTTATCTTAAAAATTCAAAAACATACCAGAACTTACACATCCACATGAGTGTTCTTTCCTTCAAGGAAGTCACATTGGGAGGCTATACTATTATCCCAATAATGCTGCCATTGCTCAAAGCATTTTTGGAATTATCTTTAGAACCTTCGTCATACTATTTTGAATATCCTCAGTGGTGGCAAATCTTCGTCTTTTGAGGGTGAATTTGAATTTTGGAAACAAGCAAAAGCCATTTGGAGCCAAGTCTTGTGAATAAGGTGGGTGATCAAGATGGGTATTGCCATTTTTGGTCAAAAATAGGATGTAACTATAAAATAATGAGACTGATTTTTTGAGTGATTGAGTTATGTGTGTGTGTGTTGTCTCATATACACTGGTTCTTAAGACAGTTCCAAAGAGAAAGTTTATAAGTATTTTGAGCAGTGAAAGTATCAATGGAGTTAAATATGTAATCTCTGGGTAAGGATGTTGGTGGAGAATTTGCATCTGACTAAAGAATTTCTGGTATGTTTTTCTAAAGTTCAGCCTCATTGATTTATAGTCACATCTTGTCCAATTTTCAGTTGGAAATATACATTTTTACCTCTCCATATAATTTCACTCATGATAGACTCTTGTTACTCCTAGGAAATGATGTAAAATCATGGCTTTGAAATATACATGTGTATACATGTATATATATATATATATATATATATTATATATATATACATATATATATTTTGCCTTTCAGATTTTCTGAAATAAGATCAAATCAGTTTTTATATACCCAGATGAATTCTTGAAGATAATTTGATTTTTGCTCATGTATGGAAATGAGAGAAAATTTTTTTTAAAATAAGCATGGGCTGGTAGGAAAAAACAAAACTGACCTAGCTAACCATGTGACCGATGCTGGGCAAGGTTCTACTTGGCTGAGTTTTAATTTTCTCATCTTTAAAAGGAATAGATTAGAGTAAATGGTTTCTAATATTCCTCTCATCACTAAATGTATGGGGATGTAGACTGTGATGCGTGTATATTAGCATATAGTAGTTTGCTGTTGTCATACTCAGCTTTTCACTTAGGCTATGGATTATTTAACCCGTTGTCAAAGATGAGCATCCACCCCTACCCCTTACTTTCCTGTAGCTACTAGACATTCTATATACTTTAAACATTAGCTCTGTGAAATAGGTCAGTTTCTATTTTCCAAATTCCAAGATTTTAATCCTTCCATGACAAGTAAATTCTCTATGACCCTCAGGAAATTGCTTGAATTCCTGACCTTAATGTTTGTCACGTGTAAAATGGTGATAATGCCTACCTCATAAGTCATTGTAAAAATGAAATCATAATGCATATAAAGTGCTCAGTAATGCCTGGCATTTCTTATGCACTCACTAAATGGTAGTGATCTCAACCACAATACATACTCTAGCCTAAAAGTTTCTTGGTGCATTTAGAACACATTATTTAGGTTGTATAATAGATTAGCATTGCCAAGTCTTGAAATTTCTAAAACTCTTTAAGAGAAAAAAAGAGAGTTTCAAACCTTTTTTTCCAAATTAAATCTTATATATGGTTGCTACTGAGTAGAAAAAGGTAGTGGAGAATAGGAGCCACAGAAGACTTTAGTGATACAATGGATTCAGAGATGTCTTAAACTCTTATCAAACTTTACGAACTACGTTGTGAAAGTAATTTCATCAGCCCACAATGGGGAGGATAAAGGATTTATGCTCTGGTCAACAGCTTTGCCCTGTTCATGATTCTAGGATAATATTACACATCAACCTCATTTATACATAAAAACATACTGGGAACCAAGTGTTGAAGACATAAGAGAGAGTTGAGATCTGCAAATAAAGTACTTTAATCTTAGTAATTATCTTAGTTATTAAAGATAGATTTAATGGGTACCATTCCATAGTAGCTTATAACTGATTTGAAAAAGAAATACTCTGAATTGCATTTCCATTCTGGTTTCTAATGTGATTGTCAGTGTTTCCCCTTCCTTCAAATTGGCTTTTAATCACAGAGGTGTTGTAAGTGCTAAATGGATTTGTTTAGTAGTCAGATAATGTCACAGTCACACCTTTCAAAAGTAATTTGTCATAAATGATTTTTTAGCAGTGGCTTTTATTAGGAATTCTGCTTTGCCAAGCAATGTAATTAGTAAGCTTGTCAAGACATAGTACAGGCACCATTAATATAATGCAGAATCCAACAATGACTTTTAGCCATTTTAACTGGGTAAATATAAGATTAGATCATTTTCTCATATTTCATATGTTATAAATGTGCTTATCTTAATGAGTACTGAAATGAAACAGAACTAAAGTCATAATGACTGTGTGTGTATCTGTTTTGTTTTGTTTTTAATATTAACACAAATTCCATTGTCCCTCAGAATGATACCTCCTACGAGCAAAACTTTTCTTGTCAATAACCTGGCTGCTGGAACTATGTATGACTTGTGTGTCTTGGCAATATATGATGATGGCATTACTTCCCTCACTGCCACAAGAGTCGTGGGTTGCATCCAGTTTACTACAGAAGACGATTATGTGCGGTGCCATTTCATGCAGTCCCAGTTTTTGGGAGGCACCATGATTATTATTATTGGTGGGATCATTGTAGCCTCTGTGCTGGTTTTCATCATCATTCTAATGATCCGGTATAAGGTTTGTAACAATAATGGGCAACACAAGGTCACCAAGGTCAGCAACGTCTGCTCTCAAACTAATGGGGTTCAAATACAAGGCTGCAGTGTGACGCTGCCCCAGTCCATGTCCAAACAAGCTGTGGGACACGAAGAGAATGCCCAGTGTTTTAAAGTTGCCAATGACAATGTGATACAATGTTCAGAAACTTGTTCAAGTCAGGACTCCTCTACCACTACCTCTGCTTTGCCTCCTACCTGGACTTCAAGTACTTCTATGTCCCAAAAGCAGAAAAGAAAGACTGGCACGAAGTCAAGTACCGAACCACAGAGTGAAGCTGTCACAAATGTTGAGTCCCAAAACACTAACAGGAACAACTCAACTGCCTTGCAGTTAGCTAGTCGACCTCCTGATTCTGGCACAGAGGGACCCACATCTAAAAGAGCACATTCAAAGCCAAGTAAGTTTCTCACTTTGCCTGCTGAGAGATCCAGAGCAAGGCACAGGTACTCCCTGAATGGAGAATTAAAGGAATGCTATTATTATATTAACTCACCGAACACATGCGGACTGTTTTCTAAAAGAAGCATGTCTATGAATGTGATGTTAATTCAGTCCAACAGTTCTGATGGGCATAGTGGAAAAGCAACTCTTTCAAATTCTGAGTGGATATTGGAAAGCACTGTGTAACCTATTATTTCTTTTTAATGAAAAAATTATTTTGAGAACTCACATAGGAAATTGGAATTTGAAATCCCAGTCTTATCTCTCTGATTCATGGCTAACAGAGCCATGGCATACAAACCCTCTAGGGTATAGTTACTTCATATACACATGGATATATATGAAGTAACTTCATATATATCCATGTATATATATGAAGGTCATATATATAAAATTGTTTAGGGAAAAAGCATGACAGCAGTGCCTTCCCCATTCTAGGACCAGCTACCAGGTTCTGCAATAGCAGAACCACAAAATAAAAGTTGTCATATGAAAAAAAAAAGTCTTGCATAAATAATGATATTTCCTCCAGTCTTACAAAGTACCACCTATGGATGATTGGTATTTTTCAATGAGTAGATTGTATATTTTCTTTCAATGACAGTGGTGTTTGTTTATAGGCAAATATTTTAGAGAACAGCTCTGTGTTGTCATGTTGTTTAAAATAAAATAGTCAAGTATACCCAGGCAGTGTTAAAATAAGTACCCTTCTAATCAACATTCTTGGTTCAGGTGCCTTAATGGGTCTAAGATATTTCTCATCTATGACACAGCTTTTTCAGTGGGATGCAGAAGAAAATGCAATTGATTTTTCATTTGGCAAAAAATGCTGATTCAGTTTTAAGTCACAGGCCAGTTTTAAGTTATATGCATCTGCCTGGGCTTATGAAGGTGTTTTCATTCATTCAGTACACATTTGGTGACCAAATGAGCTTTATATTTTTCTTAATGCAAGTTAAATAGGGAAACAAAAATACAAAACTGCCTTTATCAAAGGAATATTTATTTTTATCACCAAGTTAAATAAAAATCTTCTAATAGAGCTCTTATTACATTTATAAGCAATATAAAGTCATTGCTCATTAACCAGATAGTAGTTTCGTTTTTGCCTTCTGCTCTGTAATTCTGAATTTGAATGTTTCTCTCTGAGTAAATGTATTTATTATTTGAACCAAAACTTGTGATGAAATTTAATTAGAAATTATACAGCTTAGTGGGAATATGTCATTTAAAAAAGGATTTTTAATTTAGTCAGACAGTAATATTGCTCCTTGATAATATGACATTCTTGGACAGTCACTGAAATCAAGGTCTATAGAGAAATGTTCTATCTACTCGCTGAAATTTTTTACAATATTATATGGTAACTTAATGGTGTTTAATTAAAGATCAGTAAACAGGACTTTGGGTTTTTTTTGTTATTGTTTTGTTTTTTGGGGGGTTTTTTGAGAATAAGGTCCATGTGGGAACGTTGCACAAAAATTTTAGCCATAATATAATAAGATACGGACTTTATGTAAATTACTCCCTGGGAGTAAGTTAAACACTCAGTAAAAGTTTAGTAACTCTTTCAGATTACTTGAAATACCATTTAAAACACAGGTGAAGAATGTCCGTTATTGGTTTAATTTCCTCTTGTTGGGAGCATTTATAAAATTTTCAGTTAATTTCAACTTGACCAAGGCACATATTATACATGATTTATCGTAATGACATTCAAAAGTGGATTAGATTAAAGCAGTTAGAGATTACTTCCTGAGCAACTCATGAAAAAATTTGTCTAATGGGCTTTCATTACCTTAGGTGTTTCCTAAATGTCTTCCCTGCCCTGCTTCTTTTTCTGAAGTTTGTCTTTCACATTTCCAAAATATAATCAGCCTTCCTGGGTCAGGTATATAGTTCTTGTGAAGAATAAATGAGATCACATGTGTGGTATTATTTTGTAAAATCAAAGCATTGCTCAAAGTGAAGTGTATTTTCAACACTATTTCTGTAATAATGCTCTAATCCCAACTAAACATTTTTAATTAACACCAGTTACTTAATTCTTCATGAAGTGCTGATTGACAAAGGCATATTATTTTTCACCTTCCTAGTTTTTACCTGCATAGTATTAAAATATCCTGAATATATAAAAGATTTCAAGACTTAAAGAAATGAATCCCCAAACAAGGAATCTCTGGCACAATGAACATTGTGGTCAAGGGGGTACTGAAATCACACAGAACAGGCAGCAGCTTAGTGTGTCTACTCCAAGCTACTGATTAACTTATGTTCTATTTTCCAGTTGCCTGGATTTTTAAAAATCAATTTCCTGCTTATGCTTCTAATGAAACTTTAATTAAATATATTTTATTTCTCATAAACATTTAGAACTCATAATATCTAATCATGTGAAATTTTATTCTGTTTGACTAAAGCCATTCAAACCATTTAAATTGTTATTGCTTTTACAAGACTCTTTCTAGGGTGAATTAACCAAATGCTTGAACACTTGTTCTACAGGTGTTAAGAAGGCCTGTGTTCCTATCTTTCAAAAAGTTTATATTTGAACAAAATATGTGAACAAAACTTGGCCTATCAAGAGGGTCAGATGTTATTTGGTGTTGTTGATAAGTATATGAAAAATGTTTTGCTCAGTGCAGTTTCAGTGTGAAGTGGCTGAAAGATAAATCTATGGGAAGGTTGGGGGTGATGAAAGGTGCCTGGTATAATATCCAAAATGCAGTAGTTACTCAGATGAATGAATGAGGAAATGGATAGATGAATAAATAAGTGAATGGAGCCAGGGAAGAAAGCTCAATATTAAGAATTTTGATTAATTAGCACAATGGAGATTTGTGATCCAGATATTATATTACTATAAGCAAGAAATTCTGTCCCTCTTGTTTTTCTTTCTGTCATTTCTTACATTCCTTATTTAACCAACTACATATATGTGATCCAAAGCATATGGTTTTGCTGTTTGTTATTGCTGACTGTGTATAGGTTGTATATATTGTTTTTGCTTCCTTGTTCTTAATTATTCTTCTTTAATTTTTAGTCATTTTACACTATGGTTTCAGTTTGTTCACTAACAAACTGACAAATAATATATTTACAGATATTTACTCCAAACTTTTTAAAAAATTATATGTATTTCTGTGTTACTTTTTGTTTTGGATAATTATCCCCCAATTTGAAAATGTCAAACTATTATTAAAGTAGGTCTTTTTAAAGAAAAGTATATATAATAGATAAGTTCCATAAAGGAATAGTGAAGCATCCGAAGTAGGCTCAAAATCCTAAGAAGAAATGAAGTTTTGTTTGATGAATATTATTTATTTTTAGTTTACAAATAGATTAGCACAGAGGTACATTAAATACAATAATTTAAATTAGATACAATAACACCTTTGCTGAGAACAACACATTTTCTACATTTTTTTTTTCTAACCATTAAATGTATTAGTTAACTTGAGGTCACAGTAAGCTTTTTTATGCTTTTAGACAGTTGATTTTAGCTACTTTGCAGATATAGTTCACTAAAAAAGTTTTAGAATATTAGTTTTTGAGCTATTGTAAGCCACCTATAGACATAGCAAGTTTAATACCTGAATGATACATACTTTCTCCACAAGAATTTAAAGCATTTTTAAAAATTATATGTCTTCCATTGTCCACAGGAATCTTCTTTTTTTCATGAAGTATTTTCTGCTTTGCCTTAAAGCACTCAAAAAGTACTTCCAAACTAAATTTTAACTATTTTATTTGCTTATATTACTGTAAGGAAATTAATATTCATTTCTAAAACTAAAAAATTAATAAAACAATTATCACAAAGTTCACATCAATAGCCTTTTACTTCCTAAATTTCAGTATTCCCCCTCTGTTTATTCATAATAATAAAGTTAAAAACAATCATTAAAATGCCAGTAGTTTAAAAAATTTCAAAAACATAAAGCATCTTCTTGTACAAGAATTGTGAAGGTAAATGGGGTGTTTCTTCCAAAGAAGACTGCAGATACAAGCCCATTTTCTTCTCGGTGTGGCAGAATTCCAACTCCATTTTATAATGATAAGCAAGCAGTGTTCATTTATTTTAGACAGAATGAAGACTATGTACCCTCTTCCCCTTGCTCAGCCTTCACTTGAGTCTCAGGAAGAGTCCAGTCTTTCCACTTCAACAGTGTATGTGGATGCTTCTGTGTGTGAGTGTGTGTAATGTGTTTTGGGAAAAGGACTTTGGCCCAGAGATGGATTGGATGGGAATAGGATTTTTCTTATCTTCCTCCATTGGTAATAAAACACTAATAATAATAATAATAATAGACAATTTACCTCATAGTGTTTGTGAGTTAAGTGTTAGTTGAGGTAAATTTATGGATAAAAAATATCTCACTTTTAAAATTTCATAGAGGAAAGAGAAAATAACCAAAATTAATGACTGGAATTGTAAATATAATTGTTTCAGAGCTCTGTCTTTCAGATTACTCAGTCCTTTCCCTCCCATGCTAGATAAATACATGCTGGGATTACAAATACAATTAGTTTTGTCAGGTTTGGGGTAGGTTGTTTGTTCATTTTTTGCAACAGAAACCATCCTTCTTTTAGCAGTACAGAATAAAGAATGGTAAACGTATTACTGGGATCGAGTCATCCTAATCGTGGTGTTATCTGAAGGGGGACATAGAAAGTAACAGTTTGTAACTGGGAGTATATTAAAGTATGAAATTACCTCTTTAAGGTAATATTAATGCATCTGCAATTTCATCAAATATCATAAATATTCAATATAACAATAATCAGTGTACCACTGTCTTCTGAGTTTTTCAGCTATTTCAAAGTCAAAATTTAGGATCTAAAATTACCATCAACGTGAAGGGACTTATGGAATATACTATGTGGGCTCTACCATAATGTAATTTCCTAATTATTTTTTTTCTGTATAATGCGAACATGTCTTGTTATTGCTTTCATGTAAAACCTAATCTCCAGAGGTCATTGTAAAATTATATGAATATTTATGCTGGAGGTTTTATCAAAAAGTATTTTGTACTGTTCTCATCACACTCACCTGTGAACCCTTAGAATGACATTTTCCTGAGACACCTAATTTTTTCTTATAATTGTGTCCCTTCTTAATGACTAGAGTATTTGCTTTAAAATAGGACATTTGGGAGGAAATAGAATGTGTACTGTACAGGGCTATTTAATGATATTAAACATTTATAGCCAATTGGAGTATACATATGAACATTTGAAGGCAGAATGTTTGCATTTAGAACATTACTGTTTTATATAGGGATAAACTGGTATTCAGCAAAAATGCTATTATTATCTTGGGGGTTATTGAATAATGGTTTATATTGTAAATTATTATTTTATACTTTGTGTGGTGAATATGGTAAAACTACATTTCCTGCTTTGGATTGTTTTTCCTTGATGTATCTTTCCATATTAATCATACGCAACTCTGTGGTCGAAATGTTAACTTTGAGTAAGGAAAATGAATAGAAGCCTGATTCTCTTATTGAACTCTTGCAGGATACGTGCATTCCATATTGATAACTACTCATTTTAGTAACTAGAACAATATTTTTTAAAATTCTGCATTTAGAGTATTACGTATCAGGAAATAGCCATAGAGAACTATAAAGTATTATAAAGTCAATTGCAATTAATCCAAGAACTGGTAAGTTATTATCAAAACAATGTGCAGATAACTCTTTGTTAAGATGAATCTTATCAAGGTTTCAGTGAGAAGTATTTTAAGGTCTGTTTCATAAAAAATGAATTGTTCATGACACTGAAAATTTTATTCCCAGATGCTTTGCCGACTAATGTTGACCAGACTGTCCAGGAGACACAGGTGAGATTCTTGTTACCTGTCACATGCTTTGGCACTTAAGTGGGTATATTCTTTTATAAATGAATTTTTAATTTTTGTTTTGCTAGTTTATGTAACTTGTTGAACTTTTCCATTAAAGCTTACTCAATGCTCAGTGGTAAACAGTGAAGTTCAGTTTGGTTAAGTGAATTTCCAGTTCCTAAATTTAGACATATTTCTGGTTAACCAAATATTTCTGATTCACATTGTAAGAATAAAGGGAATACTAGTGTAACTTTGGAGTCACATTTGTAGTCACGCATGATATCATGTGTATTTTTACAAATATTTCCCAATGTGAAGACAGTAGCTTGATAAGAATATATTCACTCCTATCCTTGAGCTCCACATTCTAATAGAAGCTGAGATAATATATTAGGCCTCACCGAAAGTGGATGAACAGAAGTGTTTCATGTATATGAAATGAATGAAGCTGCTATAAAATGGAGCAAAAGACAACACATGAAATGTTCATGGTATTCCTTTTGTCAGCAACCAATTACTCTTCCTGGTTTTCTTTTCTTTCTTTCTTTTTTTTTTTTTTTTTAAGTTTCAAATGAGTATTTGATTCCTGCATTTTAATTGGATCAGAAAGTGTGTTTCCAGACCAAAATGACACTTTAGCAATCTGTTCAAACATCTGGATGCATCAGCCATTTGCTTAAGATTTGGCACAGAAAAAATATTTTGCTTTTAAAGGTTCTTAGAAAAAGCCATTGATTTATTTGTTGATAGTAAAAATAAGGGTCTTTTTTTTTTTTTTTAACCATTTCTTATTTAAAAGATAACAATAACTTGGACCATCGTTCTGGGTTTTCCCTAAAGAATTCCATTCCCAAATCAAACAAAATGTTTTTCATCATTTCTTTACTGAATTTAGGGTCCCATTCTTATGTTGCAAAAAAACAAACAGATGGCTCACTAGAAACAATCAATAGCACAGAGTCAGGCACGTACTTGGTGTTAATAGAATTGAACTGACCTGCATAAAGGTGCCTTTGTTCTCTACCACCTTCCCTTTCTTTCTCTCCCTCTCTCCCTTTCTTTCTTCTTCCTTTCTTCCCTCCCTCTCTCCCTCTGTCTTTGATTTGAAAACGTTAATTTATCATGTAACTTTGGACACCTGGATGTTCTGAAGAGAATATCCTTAGAAAGGAATTAAGAAGTCAAGCTTCCCCTATCAGAAGCATGGTCCAGAATGGTTCTAAATGTTCTATCAAGATTCGGAAGCAGGAGAATCAATCTGATCATCTTTCAATTACCAATTAAAGCAATTCTCCAAGTATTCATGTTTTGTGGGGCATGTTACATATTATTGTGTTTATTTCCTTATTTTACCACAGTGTTAGAAGTCAAGTTTAGAGAAAAGTAATCTCCTTGGGAGTTTGTGTGCTACTTGAGATAGCAAAAGGTTTGCCAATGTTATAAGTACATAAGATTTCTAATACCAATTTTCTTTGTCCCAAAGTAATTAGTATTAGAGAACTTTGGAAAATATAGCTTAAAATAAAAAAATAAATGTAAATATGTCATAACCCACCACCCAGATACGAATACTAATAATTTGGTGCATAATCTTTCAGTGATTTGTCGTTTCTGTATGTCGTAAATTCATGTGTACATATGTATGCTTATATTAGATTTCATAGTGAATGTGCATATGTAGAATATGTCACCTATTTTTATGCTGAGTCTTTATTGAGTTCCTTTTCTGAAACATTATGTCATAATGTCATAGCAACTTTCCCTCCATGCTTTGGCTATTTTGTTTTCTTTCTACGAGCATTAACTAGAAAAATAAATCCACAGGCAAAGAAGAATGTTAACAAAATTTAGTGGTTATACATCATTAGCCAATTTCTTGCTACATTTTTGTTATCAGATTTAAGTCACCATATGACTTCAGTGCAATTATTCTTGTTATTTGATAAATGATTTCTGCAATAGCAGGCTTATCATTTCTACAACTGTCAACACAACCAAACAGTAATGTCCCTTTGAAGAGACTGTGACCTGTGTGCTAGTCTTCTCATGGCTTTTCACACTGTCAGCAATAGCTTACCTTGTGAATGAAGTGAGGTAGAGAGCTGGCAGAGGTTCCTTGTGCTCTCAGCTTCTTATTTTTTTGGTGGAGAGGTGGTAGTGGGATAAGGAGGATTATACAATTTTAGTTTAAGTTTATATTCCCTGTAGGATGGTAACATACATGTCTTTTCCCACCCAGTGACAAAATACATTTTCCAAACATTTGGACACTGCCCATTGCCTTAAATGGAGATCAAAATGTTCCTTATGTATATAGACAATAAAACAAGCAAAAAAACTTAAAATACATTTTTAATATATTAAAAAAAAATGTTTCCTAGGTGACAGTAGTAGTTCTTTTAGACAAACTATTAATATATAAGTGAATAAAAAGTGTTGATTAGAAATAAACAGCAATATTAAAACAACTATGGGAAAACACAGTTTGGAAATCGTATGAACTAAGAGCTGAGCAGCAAAACAAATGTGTGTATATGATTCAGATATGTTTCCAATGTTTTCTGTACAAACAAGAATGACCAATATAAAATATTTGGTTCTGTAGGGTTTCTTCCACCTATGATATTACCTTCAAGTAAATTTAAAAAAAATAAAATAAAAGTAATATAATAGACATTGTAAATAAAAAAATAATAAGAGTAATAGAATAGACATTGTAGAAAACATTTAACTATTTTTATAATAATTAAAGCATACTTTTTGACATATTTATTTGAACATTACAGGAAATCAGAAAAAAATATATAGAACCCTAGTGTCAGCAATGACCTTTAGAAATCATTTCCTTCTTTTTAGATATCCTAACTATATAAGATAAAAAAATCTCTCATAGGTCTTAATTACATTCAGAGTAAGAGCAATAACAGTTTCCCAGATCCATTCAATGTCAGGGTATTTTTTTCTTCCTCTAATGTTGACGTAGCTTTAATTTCTCCTTTTATTTGTAGTACCATTGATAAGATTGTGCAGTGTTTTGCATGGTACCCTTTCACTGTCAAATGAGGACCATTGACAAAACATCCTGAACCTACCCCAAATTCATTATTTTTAGTTCTTATAAGATTTATCATAGTTATTATAGTCTATCTTGTTTTTTCTTTGTGATGCTCTTGTAATTTTGTGTTCCACATTTAGATCTTTATGGAATCATTATGCTTGTTTATTAATAAGTAAAAAGAGTTATTTTGAATCTTACATATAAAATTTTTATTCAACTTCATATTACGTCATCGTTTCAATAATGGCAGATTCAGGGCAGACAAATTCACACCATTGTTCCCCAAACCGATTGCTATTTTCTAATCTTCAAAATAACAAGTTTTTTATAAACCATAATCCCACAGTTTGTTAATGTTATTATGTAATGTGAAATTGAACCAAAAACTCTTTAAACTATGTCAGCTTGTAGAATCATTAACTTGATATTAAAAGAAAGTTTGTTATTCTGGAAGGATTTATTATTTCCAAAGTCAAACTAATTATACTGTCCACAATATTTTTCTTCTAGGTATATTTAGTCTTTTCTATATTACTATTTCCTGAAATGAAATTTGGTGTAGTACAATCACTTTTTTTAATCAAAGGGAACATATTACTGGATATACAAAAATAAATAAAAATCTTGTTGATAACCAATTTCACCAAAATAAGCTGTGCTGTGAATCCAATAACAAGGAATTTAGCTATTTCCCATCGTAGTTTAAAGTGATTTTTGTAATGTTTTCCTTAAAATGAATATTCCAGGTAAAGTATGCTAGTGATGTCTATATTTCAGTAGTTTCCAAGTAATTATTTTTTAAAAATCAGATACACATCTATTATCTATTAACAATCTTCAAACATCCAGTAATTCTTTGTTCAGTAATTCTCAAAAATTATCATTTATCTCAAAAATAACTTCACTTATTCCAATTAACTATTTTGAAATATTTTCTTAAGTAAAATATCTCTATAGTATTTTTCCTACCTTTACCACACAAAGTTATCCAAGTATGTCCTATATCAACACTTTGATATAGAATATTTGAAGTTAAGAAGCTATTTTTCATCATTCATTTGTTCCATGCATTTTATAACCCTCAACTTGTAAATATGTAGTTGTTCTTGAATGGAAAGGAGAAAAATTACTTCTATTTCATATTATGAAATTGTATATTTCTCAAAAATTATTTTCCATCTTATTGAAGTATAGAATTTATACACATATTTGAAAGTCATGAGTACTGAGAACCCATGTTAGAGAAAAAACATTTTCACAGTTTGTTATTTAAATATTTTAAAATTGTTTTTTATATGATTTTCTTTCAAAATCATGTTAACTATGAAATGCCTGTGCTTGTGAGTTATTGTCAGTTTTCACATTTATTTTATTTGTTCTGTGGGTGAAGAACTAATTAATGTAGATGAATTTATTGTCTTCACTATCAGTAAATGTATAATTAAACTTTATAAAACCTTAATATAATACAAAGCTTCCAAAAGAATATATTAAAAAAGTAGAGATCACGTAGGTTTTAGATATGATGAACAAATTTGATCTAAAATGTTCATATTTAAAAAGCGAATGTGAATATTTGTTAAAGCCTGAATAGTATGCATTAATGAATAAAGTAATTTTTTTTCTCTTAATTTGAGAATATAAATGTGAAAATCAAAGCAAGGAAAAGTGCCATTCCTCAATTTGGCTCTGACTTGCATAACTATTTAGTCTTAAAACATTTAGATTCCTTTCTAAAATGAGATTTTTTAAATATATTCAATAATTTGAAATTACCAGGGAACATTTTAAGTGCTGATGTGCATGTCTAAATAGTATCCAGAAATATATCTAGTATTTTGTAGCAATAAGCTCCTGCCTGGGTGCTTACAGTTCAGTAACTTCTAGATTGCTAGCCCAGTGATCTTATTAGCTGTGTGTTTTCTTTCTTCTTTTTTTTTCTTTTTCTTTTTCTTTCATTTCAGAGGCCGGAGTTAATCTGAAGAGCACCACTTCTCTCTCTCCTGAAAAAACTTGCCACTGATATTTTTACCAGACAAAATTTTAAAATGTTTCAATTCACAAAGGCTAATTGTTGAACTGGTGTCCTAGAAGAAATTGTCCACAGGAGCTGAAGCAGAAGTCTCTGATGACGCGGAACTGGCTCTATCAGACCATGGTTAATCCCCTTTTAAAACCAAAATTTTTTTCTTCTGACCTACAAGTATTTTTTTTTAAAGAAGGAAAGAAAAAAGCCTACGTTGGCATCGAGTTCTGTATCAATCCATGTTACATTGCCATTCATGATTTAAGACTGTAGAATCTTGAATAATCTATATCACTTTAACAAATAAATGTTTTACTATGACAGAATTTGCATATTGCCTGATTTGTGGAAACCTTAGTTGCTTCAAGTGTGAATGGTGAAGTGATGATTGTAGGAGCTAATAATATTATTTTACATCTATGTAGTACAAAAACCTTAGGGGATCACAAATTGCTTTATAATATTGGAACTAGTTCTTCCATGACTGAAGTGCACCCACTTCTATAGGAGAGCAGTACAACTATTTAAACAGCTTTCTGGCAATTTTATGCTTCAGTGTAAGACCAAAAGGGGTGAGGGATCTCTTCTTCCAGCGGAATTTCAGAAAGTATCAAGGTAGGCATATTGTAATTAATCCAAATTGATTCATTGTTTTTTTGGAGAGCAAGGGCAAAGAGGTTTTAATAATTTTAGGCCTTATGTTTCATTATAAGTGCCCATTTCTCCAATTTTCCATTGGAGATAAAAATATATATAATTCCAGAATAAACAAAGAAGAACATACATCTTATTTAGCACCAGCATGAATAGGAGTAAGATATTTTTGATGGCTAATATATGTTAATACAGTCATATTTAAGCAGTAGTACTCAAACCTAGCAGGCCTGAGTTCAAACCCAGAGATGAGTGAATTTAACCAATTCCCACTCTACTCTTCCATATTCTCAAAGGATTAATATTACTGTAAAATTTGAAAATGCATGTAAATGTATCACTGTACTTGGTGTAAGCAATAAGTTCGATTAAAAATATTTTAGTAGCATTTCTATTAGCAATTGAATTCAGATTCTCTCAAACTTGAGAGATTTTATTTCTATTCCTTGACATTTCTGGTAGTTGTCTATCATTAAAAGCAATATGTAGTTTAAATTTTTAAAAATTTAGTTAAAACTAAAAAATCCAGAAAACTGCCTTTGAGAAGTGTAGGTTAATCTGTTAGCCATTCCACACCTCTTAGACTGTTAAAAATATCCAACCGTCCAGAGAGGTTACAGAATGTCAGCCATTAGATGGCACTTGGAATCTGTGCTCAGGAGCCGAACTACACTAGACATAATTAAAACCTGTGGATACACACACACACACACACACACACACACACACACTCACTCTTACTCCCAGACACACACAATGCACAATTGAAACAGAAGTAACACGTTTGAGTTGAAATGTAGTTAGTTTGTGACCTTGGGCAACTGACTTCATTCTGTTTCTTGACTCAAATGCCCAGAGCAATCCTGTTTACATGTGTGTTAAGTGTATATATGCATGAATAAATGTTTATGGTGACAAAAAGGAGACAAATTGGACAATAAGCATTGCCTCTGTGAATCTGTTCCTGTTGTACACAAATTTTCTCCTGAAATATAAAGTGTCAGGAGCAGAAATGGCTTTCCTAGAGTTCAGGGCAGAGTTTAACTTTTAAAGTTCTCTCTTGGGAAAACCTGCAACCTTTTCTTCAAGGACATTCTCCTGTTTATCGTTACCTTCCACTTGCCCCAATCTCCACCCCATCTGGCCCAATTATTATTTTTCTTGATGATGGTAAGAACATAGTCTGACCCCTTCATCTTTTTAGGATATTCATGCTATTGTGTTCTAAGGAACAGGATTTTTAGTGTGTTAGAACTAAAATTGTACTTAATCACTTCAAGTCTTCACTCTGCATCACCTATACCTAAATCTAAAACTTCATTTATGCATAAATTCAAACAACACTCATAGTGTACATATTTTCTGTTTTTTTTCAAATATTGTTGAGGAATACTTAGGCACAGTCTCTGAACCTGTAAGTGTGCAATAATCCGTTGTTTTTATGGATAGATATTTACTTCTTATACTATGAGGTTAAGAGAACACAATTGTATACCCATAACTAAATAGGATTAATGATCATTCACAAGTAAAAGTTTTTCAAAAATGTGACAAAATAATATTTTTAGAATAAGTGGAAACAGTTTCTTTTAGCTGAGCATATTATAAAGGGGTGAAGAAATGTATGTTAAAAAGTCTAACTGTAAGGTTCTTGGCCATGCACTGAAAACCACTACCATTATTTCTCTTATTCTACATTCCTCAGTAATTTTGGAAGTAAACTAACTGGTAATATATAGCATAGTTAGTATGAATATTTGTCAGTTCAATTTGTGACATCTTACACATAATATAAAGCATATCAAGTGCACACACAAGAAAATCAAAAGTGTTTAGAGTGCAATGTAAACACAGCTTGTGAAGCATGAAAGTTGACTGAAAACCATAATTAAAATTTTGAAAATCTACAATCATGAATTTTGAAATCTATAATCTGTAGAATTGAAGATTAGTAATAAAATACCATTACTGGTTGAAAGGAATAACTTATACATGGAAAGAAAACTCAAATAATTTTAATTTACTATTTTATTTGTAATATAATAACTCTCAGATTAGTTTGTACAAGTTTTTGTCTGTTAAAAATACATAATATCCTGTTTCATGTATATGGAATATTTTGTGACACATTCTTGGTGTTTTTTTGTCCAAAATATATTCAGATTATTTCTTCCTATATTCTGCTTTCTATGTGTTAAGAGCTTACTCCATTTTTATTTATTTACTTTTTTGTTTCCAAAATATATGTATCTGACATCTCATGGGTCTACTTATGAAATGGGTGTGTGTGTATGTATCAAAGCATATGCAATTATTTAAAAATGGAAGTGACAGAGAATGTACTATGTCCAACCAAAGTAAAAGTCCCTAGCATATGATTATTTTATTTGGTATACAAGTATACCAGGGAAACTCTACACTAGATTTTTTATGTGGAAAATATATGTAACATCAAATTTGTTATTTTAACCATTTAGAGTGTACAATTCACTGGCATTAGTTACATCCACAATGCTGTCCAATCATCACCACTATCTATTTTTAAAATGTTTCTATCACCCCAAATACGAAATTTGTATCCATTAATCAATAATACCTATTCTCCCTCCCACCAACCCCTGGTAAACTCTAATCAACTTTCTCTGCCTATGAATTTGCCTATGCTAGATATGTCACGTAAGTGGGGTCTTACAATGTCTTTTTCTGTCTGTCTTATTCCACTTATCATAATGTTTCTAAGGTCATCTATGCTGAAGCATATATCAGAACTTCATTTCTTTTTAAGGTTGAATAATATTTAATCCTATATATAGCACATTTTTTATTCACTCACCTTTTGATGGACACGTGGTGTTTTTACCTCATGGACACTGGGCATAATACTACAAGAAACATAGGTACACAGGTACATATTTGAGTTTCAGTTTTCAATTCTTTTTGCTATATACCTAGGAGTGGGTAATAATTTTATGTTGAGTTTTTTGAGAATTGCCACACTGTTTTCCACTGTGGCTACACCATTTTACATTCACTACACTAATGTGCAAGTGTGCAAGTGTTCCAATTTCTCCACATTTGTAATTTTCAGTTTTTTAATAACTATCCTAGTAGGTGTAAATTATCTCATTATGGTAGTGATTTGCATTTCCCTAATCGCTAATGATATTGAGCTTCTTTTCATATGCTTATTGACTATTTGCATATCTACTTTGGAGAAATGTCAGCTCAAGTCCTTTGCAAATTTTTAAATTAGATTGTCTTTTGTTATTGAGTTGAAACCATCCTTTACATATGCTGGATATTAAACATTTCTCAGGTATATCATTTGGAACTATTTTCTCCCATTCAGTAGGTTGTCTTTTCACTTTCTTGGTATTATCATTTGTTGAACAAAAATGTTTAATTTTTATGAAGTCCATTTATGTATTTTTTTCTTTTGTGTTTGTGCTTTTGGTGTCATATCTAAGAATTCATTAACCAATCAGTGGTCATAAAGACTTGCCCCTATGCATTTCTCTAAGAGTGTTATAATTTTTAGCTCTCATGTATTGATGATGGATCCATTTTGAGTAAATTTTTGTATATGATTTGAGGTAAAGCTCCAATTTTAGATGTGGAAATCAAGTTGTCCCAACACTATTTGTTGAAAAACTATTCTTTTCTTATTGAATGGACTTGGCAGGCTTGTCAAAAATCAACTGACCATAGATGTATGCATTTATTTCTAGACTCTATATTCTACTCCATTGGTCTATATGTCTGTCTTTATGCCAGTACCACAATGTTTTGATTACTGTCACTTTTTTACTTTTCAAACCAGAAGTGTGAGTTCTCCAGCTTTGTTCTATTTTTTCAAGATGGTTTACCTACTGTGACCCCCTTGCAAATGAATATGAGGATTGGCTTTTCCATTTCCACAAAACAGCAGTTGGAATTTTGATAGAGATTGCATTGAACATGTAGATCATGTTCTAGTTTTGACTTGAGTAGTTTTGACATTGTAACAATATCAAGTCTTTCAATCCATGGACAAGGGCTCTCTTTAATTTCTTTCAACAATGTTTTGTGCTTTTCAGTGTACAAGCCTTTCACTTCCTTGAATAAATTCATTCCTAGGTATTTAATTCTTTTAGATGCTCTTGTAAATGGAATTGCTTTCTTAATTATCTTTGTGATATATTATCATAGCTGGTATTAAAAAAACAGCTGATTTCTGTGTGTTAATCTTGTACCTTGCAACTAGGTGGAATTAGTTTATTAGCTATAGAAACTTTCTTGTGAATTCTTTGAGATTTCTACATATAGAATCATGCCACATGTGAATAGAGATACAGTTGGTCCTCCATACCCACTGTTTCTGAATCTGGATTCAACCAGTCATGAATCAAAAATATTTTTAAACATAAATAAAATAAAATTCTAGCAAGTTCCAAGAGCAGAACTTAAATTTGCCATTTGCTGGCAACTATTTATATAGCAGTTACATTATATTTACAACTCTTTACTAGCACTTACATTGTATTATAAGTGATCTAGAGATAATTTAAAGTATATGGGAGGATATGCTAAGGTTGTACACAAATCCTGCACTATTTTATGTGAGGGGCTTGAGCATGCTTGGGTTTTGGTATCCAGAGGGAGTTCTGGAACCAATTCCCCAAGGATACCAATG